GTGCGATCATCGCGTTTAGGAGCGACGAAAGTCGCGATTGAGTGTGCTTCCTCTTTAAAAATCGTATTATCCTTTGATATTACTGCCGCAGGAAATTGGTGGGAAATGGGAGGGTAAGGAGCATCCCGAGAATGAACAACTCGATTCTTGGAAACCTCGCGACGATTTCATTAAGTATTCGGGGGAGAACCTGCGGTGTTACCTCTTCTCATTATTAAGTGGGACATACTCTCCCGGGAGTCAAAATGTCTCGTCTTCATTTTTGCAAGTTTGAAATAGCGCTTTCGTGCCATCTGAATTACAAATTTCGGCGCGAACGAGGTGAAAAGCCAAACGAAGTTCAGTCTGGAAAAAATACTAAAGCAAATATACGACGAGTACGGAAATTATTCACGGTATTCACGTGTTAAAACTCTTATCAATAAATCATGACTTTTAATGTATCAGAAATGATCGGATAATATTTGACATATATGGTATTAAAGGGTTTAAGTGAATTATGAGATGGGTTGTATTTGCATTATAGTTTTTATCACGGTTGTTTATTAATTAATGTAAAAATAAAACTAGAGGAGACTCTGACGCACCGCAAAGAAACGTAATCTAGTCTTGAAGAGAATCTGAAATTAGAATCTTACGGGACTCTTATTCCCACAGTATTCAGGTTGTCGTGTAAAAAAGTGCGGAATATAGACGATGAATTCACAAAGAATTTGCGGAAGATTTTAATAACGGGAAACCGAGATATTTTCCTCGTCCTTATGAAGTTAATAGGACGAATGATCGGCTTATTGATATTCGTTAATTATTATTAATACGTATATACGTTTAAAATATATATTTATTTATATGTACCACGTAAGAGAGAACAATAAAATGTAAACAGTAAGAAGTACGAGGCTACGGACGTAGCTTGAACAATTCTGAGAGCGAGCTTAGATCTATCTCGTTATCACACAGGGCACGCACTCCAAATAGAATACTCTATTTTGTAGAATGTAACGCGGTCGGAGCACCGACCTTCCAGCAAATATTTTCTCGCCGATGTGAGCTCGTGTACACCTGATTAAATAAAGAAGACGGAATTTGCGGCGCGCATTATTGGAAAACTAAGTCTACGGCGCATAATAGAATTTTCCTATCGTCCTGACGAGGAGAAGCGTCATTCTTATCTCCACTTACTCGACAATTTACACGTTTCCAATGCACTAAATAAACACAAAATAAAATAACGCACGACTGTCCGTATTTATTTACCACAATCGTCGTTATATCAACGCCGAATTAGTCGCTGTCCGAGGTGCGAATCGACGTGCGAAAGTTCGACAGTTCCAACGACGATTCCAGGAGCGGAAAACTCCGCGGAAATAGGCTTCAATTAGCAGCCGATAAACTAAACACGGGAGAACCGGCTTGGGATTTCTTCGTGGTTAATAAAATAGACTTAAATACCCGCTTAGAATAGCCGGCCGTCGTTTTCCGGCGGCAATTTTTTTTCCGCTGTAAAGCCCTATTTGCATTATTAAACGAGCGGGAAGTCAGCCATCACGAGAAGTCGTTAAGAAATTTAAAACTCTTGGATAACTCTAAGTTAGAGAGGAGTGGAGTAATCAAGGCGCGGGTGAAGGGGCAGTGAAAAGGAATTTAATTAAGCCATCCCACCTCTCTCGGGTCAGTATGTCTTGTTCCGCGATTCGCTGCAGCGATCGCCTTGCCACCTCCGTCGTCACCGTCACCGTTGCCGACCAGAAGGAAATTCTCGATAAATAGAAAATCGTCGCGTCAACGGTGAGAATACACACATTAGATCGATTCGCAAAGGTCCCTCGAGGAGTTCTCCGGAAAAACGTCGTAAATGTCAAATTCATCTCCGGGGGAAGAAAACCACCATGAGAGAGAGAGAGAGAGAGAGAGAGAGAAAGAGAGAAATGTGTGTGTTGTATATATGTTCGTTGTGTATGTGCATGTATGTGTTGTATGTGTGTATGTGTTCTAAATATAGCATGGCGCGAACCAATTTCATATTTCGACGTGTATGGTTTCACGATTCTTTACGGAATTAATTATTGCACGCGAATCTTATTCTACGATTCGACCTGAGACAAGAAGAAAACGATAATTCGTCAAATATACATTATTGCAATTTAATTCCGTCGTACTTTTTCGCCAATTATATTCGCGTTATGCCCTTGAAGCTCGACGTTCGTAAATTTCTTCCGGAGTGGTTCTTCAGTACGTGTTTTAACGTCGCCTTAACGTATCTGATTTTCCGCGATGACACCGACGGCGAAGAGGGATTTAAAATTATGCTCGTTCGCCTATACGAATATATATTATTTTTATAGAGGGAAAGAACCCGCGCTGCGCACGAAACGAGGTATTCCTTAAACGATCAATAACCGTACCATCCTCGTGTCGTCTTTTTACAAAACACACGTATCGCGTAGCTCGTTTAAATAAACACGGTTGCGGCGGCGGCGGCGGCGACGGAGCTGCCGGTTGTCCGAGTGAGTGAATGTTTTCCCGCAACGCGAACGTATTATAAAAGACACGGCTCTATACGGGGGAAGTTGCAAAAATAAATATCATGTCAATTGGCATCCGAGTGAAAAGTTGATATTTGCCTCGTGCGTAACGTAACGTAAATGGAACGGAATTGAATGGGGTGTAGGACAGGCAGAGGTAGGACGTCAAAGGCCAGGGATAGACCTCGTTCATAATTAGCTCGTTTCGCTACGTCTATTCGAGTCTACTTCAACGAGCGACGCTACTCTAGAAGTTTAATCGCACGTTGCGATAAACCGGAACGAGCCACAAGATTTTGTTCCTCACGAGCGTTCGAGCGTGAGCTCACTTTCGACAAAGAAAGAGAGAGAGAGAGAGAAAATAGCATTTACTTCATCTTAGGGAAGGCTTTTAAAGATAAGTAATATACGCGATAGAATAAAAAAGAAATAACATTACATTTATTTGAATAATAAATTACACTATCAAAATGATAATTCGAAAGCAAAGAAAATAAGGAAAAATAAAGCCGCAAAAATAATAAGCTACGTAAAAAATAAATATAAACTATGTATATTAAAGGAAAGATAAAGCTATATTTAAATTAAATTTATATTTAAATCCGAACCCATATTAAAGTAATATGTAAGATAGAAAAATGTTTATAGTTGTAAAAATTACTGGTACAAAATCATTGGATAGAGGAAGGTAGCAAATGAAGGTAAAATTTATTATCATAAGAATCAGAGGTGCGATAAAAAGAGAGAGAGAGAAGGAGATGAGAAGAACCTTCCGACAGAGGCGATGGCTGTAACAAAACATATCGTTCTCCTCCATATCGCGAGAGATTAATCGGTTTAATTAAGCCGACTAATTAATCCTACTGGTTTCGATAACGCGACGTGGAATCCGTCTACATCTGTACGTATGGAGCACCTGAAAAAATCGTTCGATACATTAGCAGTGTGTATGCACTTGGGTCCATCGGAAACGCGAAAGCATGTCCCGCACTTCCGTTTCGCGCGAATCATGCTCGGGATGATTCAGTAATGTAGCTCGCCATCGATCATCTCGCGCGATAGCTCGTAAGTCCTCGTAAAAATTTCGGGCGTGACACCGGCTGTCTTTCTGAAAAGTGCATAGCAGTGCACGCGAAAATTTCACACTTTTTCGCCGTGCTACGCGTCATGGTAATTTTCTTGATTGCGTGAGACGTCCGAACACACCCGCGCACTTAACACACGTCGCCACGTAGTCATTACGACGTTCGTTTCTACGGAGGCCATTTATTATCAACATATCGTCCGTACATGTGCAGCATAACTCCGTGACGGTGATCGATCATCGACGTCACGAAATTTCGGGAATAATGAACCTTGATCGATCTGCCAATAACGCCTGTATGAGTAATTTAATGTAACGAAGTTTCGATGTCATAAATTTGACTCCGCCGAGAAAGTCAGTCGGAATATATCGGAATATTTCCGCGGTTATTCGTCCATAATTGAAATTATCGTTGTTAATATTTGTTTATAATGGCTCACACACACATATACATACACGCATACACACATATAGACATACACAAGAACACACACACATACATATACACAACAGATTCTCTCTCATCGTTCCATCGAATAGTCCCAAGCTCTCGCGATATATTCAAATGTAGCGATATTACTACACCGAAATTAATTATGAAGTTTTTCTACTCGCGCGTAATATTATAAATAGATGTTAACGAGCAAAATTGGATTAATCGCATCGTACATAAATGATAAAAGAGTAGACAGTTGTAGCTCGTCCTTGTGAGGGAGGGCAACATTAGGGACATCCGAATTGTCTCTAAATTATTACAGGGGAGGGATAAGCCAGCGGGTTTACTTGAGGGATACCAGTACTGGTATTAGGTTCTGTGCCCGCGTATTCTGCAATAATGTTTAGTCTCCTGAGTAAAGAAAGATAGAGGTCCCATACGTGTCCGGTCGCCGTCTCATTTCGCGAAAATTGCCCGGCGTGAAAAAATTCAACACCCAACTGGTCAGTCTGGTCACTGCTGGTCGTTTTGTCGAGTGAACGTAACGAGCGTTAGTAACGAACTCTCCTTATGAAATATCAAATAAGACGCGATAACGGGCGCGAAATGAAAGAGCATTTGCTCGAGACAAATACGACGCGTCACATTCTTTGCCCCGCTTTCGTTTGAAATTAGTTTCTCGGTGCACTTCGTGCAGCTAATCTCAATAATATGGCAAAATATGCACATTATCGTTTAATTCTTAATTAAATATAGTGCATGCGTGCACTTTGATGAGAGAAAGCAGGGAACTGTCGGTTTTCCCGAATGGAGCGCGAGAAACTCGAGTTTCGAACACAATCGCAATTCAGACACCGAGTCATTCAGTCTTCGACTTTCGACTGTGTACCGGCCAACCGAATCCCCCTCCTCGATACCTCCCGGAAAGGTTAACGCGAATGATTGTTCGTTGCAGCGCCGACGAGGGCTTCGACGGCACTTACCCGACGAACGTCGTCGTAAAGAACAATGGGACCTGCTTGTACGTGCCGCCCGGTATATTCAAGAGCACTTGCAAGATAGACATTACTTGGTTTCCCTTTGACGATCAGCGCTGCGAGATGAAATTCGGCTCCTGGACGTACGACGGCTTTCAGGTGAGCAGGGACGAGCATTACGGAATTGGGTCAGCCAATCGTCATTCCCCCGTCCGTTCGCGGGATGTTCGCTCGTTCGCCTCGACGCAGACGACGAACTTACGAATTTTCCAATCTGTCGGGAGCACGTCGGTACTCGTCGACGTCTCGGGACGCGGAAATAATTCAAAGCGGCGTCGTGAGGAGTTTGATTAGCACCCGACACGAAGTGGGAGAAACGAGAAAGGGAAAGCAAAAGAGAGAGAGAGAAAGACAAAGAGAGCAAAGGGTAGGAAGGATTGAAGAGAGGGAGACAAGAGAATTTTCGCTATTTGCCAATGTGCAAGAGTTGCTCGCGAAAACGTTCCGCGAAATTCCAGAGTCGGACGTCGGAGTAAAGTCCTCCGATCGCGTAACGACGATGCATTTTCCGCCCTCCCCGACGAAAGTTGCGAGCGAGCGTTCTCGAGATTATGCTCGGTCCGGTTGAAATGGTAATTGCTCAATCCGTGCAAAGGAATTCCTGTAAATGCGCAAGACGTCTTGTAACAAATGTTATCTTTCGCTTCGTGATTTAATCAGACGTTACATAGTTTCATGTCTTTTCGTAATACGCTTTAACATAAAACGCCTCGATAACAACGTCTTAGGCCGAGATTCTAGGAAAGTCCATTTTTAAATTATTTAAGATCATTTTGTGCGATTATTATCTACATCTCTGCTTCGAAATATTATCTTTAATAAGTCGCTTTAACGAAACTTTGGTGAGAATTTTCTCGGAAAGCTTTGAAGAATACGTTTTCCTTTCCTTCCTTCTTTCTTTTCCTTAGTGTCTCCCGGTAAAAAATATCGATAGTATCATCAGCACACGTACGTACGTGATGTTAAGGCATTTTCCGCGAAATATTCGAGACGCGTGATTACGTTCGATTCCGAAGCGCGGTCTACGAATACCACAACGGGCGTAAAGTGCACTCGGCATTTTGTCGAAGCACCAACGTGGTGCGGTCGGCAAACGGCATTTTAGGGTGAATTGCAGGAAATTTACGAATCGCGGAAGATGCGTTTAGAGGACAATGAGCGTGAGAATGCGCGATACCCAGTTCTCCCAATTCTCGCCGACACGCGGTTCCGCCTCCGTCATTTTATTCTTGCAACACAAATAGTACACCGAGGGGAAATTATTTCTAGCATTCTCGTACCTCAAACTGCCTGAAACGAATATCACAAAAGCGGAGGCTATTACAATATATATCCCGAAGAAATTTCACCGACATTAGAGAATGCGTGACATAAATTGCTGCAAATCGAATCGGAGAAAGCAAATGAACGGGAGAGAGACTTGGCTATAAGAGACAGAATAGTATCGCGAACAGCCGTAAAACATTGCGGAAATTGCAGAATTATCTTATGTGAAAAAATAATAGTGCCAAATGAAAATATCTTAACATATCGCCCGACGATCCTCGTAAGAAAATATTGACTTACACTTTCAACATTCTTAGCTCAAAGCAAGCGTTAGGTTTGAGATATTCAGCGGGATATAACGTTGCTTGATAACGTACACTAATTACGATATTACAATGACGAAAACGCGTGGTAATCGAACGCTCCTCGCTCGTTACAGATTTATCGCGCAAACGCGCGATTTCACCGCACGACCGATGTACTTGGGCGAGTCCTCAATTGTCGGGGTATGCAACTTCCGAATAATTAAAATTGAGGATGCGAATTACACGGTGCCGGGCAATTCGAGAACGCTCGGGGGTTCATTAAGGAGGACAATAAGCAGAACGAAGTGGAAGCGCGAGAGGGAGAGTCAGTGGAATGCGCCACGAGCTCGGTTCGATCCGCTGAATACGAACGAGATGCAAAACAGACTTTTCGGTTTTGATCGTCCGTTTTCACTTAACAATTCGCGTCCAGAAATTAATTCGCCGTAGATTGCGCCTGAACGTCGGTGCAAGAAAAAAAGGGAGGAGAGAGGAAAAAAGAAAAGAAATTTTCCATCGATATTCAAACGCGTAGGAATTGCGGAAGGAATAACCGAGGTGGGTTAACGGGGGCTTTATTGGTCTATGCAAATATGCATGAATTCACGTGAGTGGTACCAACAGGCTTGTATGAAGCAACTAAACCGATGGAGAGTCTAGTAAAGAGAGTCTAGTAAAGAGCGACGTTATTTAGATACTTCGATAATAATTCATCGTTCTGCCTCATTTCTCAATTAATTTCATTCCTTTTTGTTTCTTTTATTTTCCGATTATTTCAGATCTTAGATACGTCGATTTTATATTATACGTCATGACGCTTGATAATGCAAAGTTTAAGATAATACAATAAATTAATAGCGTTCTATGTATTTATCGTATTAACCAAGAATATCATATCGATCGTTCTGTTAATGCTTTAAACCAGGGTTTCCCAAATTTGTATGAACCGCGACCCACTTTTTAGAACAGCAAAAATCCGCGACTCACCCAGCTTTAGTGGATATGAAAAAGCGAGGAGGAGTAGGTAAATTGATTATTTATTTATATCACTGTATTTATACGTTACCTTATTGCTCTTACTTTTTAATTTTTTTACTGAATATAAATTTATAAATCTATTAATTCTAGATACGCGATCTTGCAACGCATTCTGTCCACACTGTTATAATACGTTGATATATTACGAAGATACGCAAATCTATACCCAGTTTAAGTTTGTAAACCTACGCAAAGTAATGAAGTGTAATTGAACATTCTAGAATTTCTCGCGATCAACCAGAAATCGGTTTACGACCTACATTTTGGGGATACCTGCTTTAAACGATTACAATAGTTAAAGTTTCTAAGGCTGTTCGATCTTGAAACAAAGGAAAAGGATTAAAACCATTGAAAGCCAAAACACGGTTAGTTTAATGCTATTATACAATAAATCAAGTTACAAAAATATTTAATATGTCCAAAATTCCAAACGTTTCTAAAAAAAACTAAACGAATTATATGCGTAATTAATAAAAAATTAGAACGAGAATTCAGTCGAAGTACTATTTGGATAATGTAAATCATTTTCATTGAGAAGAGCCCGAATGGGGCCCGAAACATTTGAAATTTTAAACATATTAAATGTTGTTGTGACTTGATTTATTGTATAACGGCATTAAACTAACTTAGCTCTTAATGATTCTTTTCTTTGACTTTTGATTACAGTAGTATTTCTTTAAGACTTTAGCTAATTATTTGGTTAAGGTTGTGAAACGGGGATTTTAATTTCAACGAGCAAGAAATCCTTTCCATTATGTTCCTTGTTTGCGATGTTTTTAGTGTTCGCACACTTCTACATAAAAATTAATTCCCAAAGAGTCGGAGCGCGCGTTCAACTCTCGTTCCTTTATGTTTCGCCCCGTAATGTTTCTTCCATAAGGGCAAAAGGCGACAAGAGAATTGCGTATTTCCGCGACCGCGCAGAAATCTCTCCCTTCCCTCTTTCTCTTTCTTCCCCTTTCGAAACAACCGTCTTACATGGTACGGTCGCGATAATTTTCCTCTAATCGACCGTCATAAATTGTCGACAGTTGGATCTACAGCTGCAGGACGAGACCGGGGGTGACATCAGCAGTTTCATCACTAACGGCGAGTGGGATCTGTTGGGTGAGTTTTTACAGTCCTTATCGGTTCTCTCCTCTCGCCACGCCCGGATAGTTCACCCCGCCGCGCCGAAAGTGATTCCCCGGCCGATTAGCAATTCTAAAGTCTTGCACGGCCACGGGCGGATGATCAATCGTTTCGCAAATCGGAAACGGTATCGATCCTCGCTTTGTCCCCGTCAAAATTGCCTGCATCTGGGTCAAGCGGGACGCGCGGCGGAACGTAGCCGAAGTTTACTGTTTTCGCTGGCGAACACGTCGGCGATCGGTAAAGTGTCGCGAACGAAATTGCAAGCGGGGGCATCTCTCGCTTGATTCAAAGGGCGAATGAAGTCCGACGCAGTCGCTGAATAATCGCCCGGGAATTTATTGAACGATCGCGGATCCGAACTACATGGTCTTTCACTTGCAAATGTTCACCGTACCGCCGGAGAGGAAGAGGGAGGGAGGAGATCTCTATCGCGTGTTTTTGTTTTTCTTCTTTTTTATCTGGCACCGATTTTTCCACGGTAGAAATTTGTTTTTTCCGTTTTCCGCACGTGTGAACACGCATACGAAATTTTTTATCCACGTCGCGAATCTTCGCGCGCGCGTGCGTCCGAGCGCAAAATTCCCGTCTGGGCCCAAATTTTCTCGTCCCCCGTAGACGAGCGAGCGGGAGATAAGCGGAATTTCCGAATTCCAGCTCCGCGCGAGTTACGCAACGGGAACTTTCTCCGCGTGATAATTTTATTATTTCGGCTATTCGCGGGATCCATAAAATCAGTTTCCGCGTGTCGGGATCCACGTTGAAATCGACAGCCCCACGCATGGAATCGTACGACCTACATTTTACATTGGAAGATCAATTTTGTATTCGGAATCCGCTTTCAGCGAACGTGTGCGATATCTCTTGCTGAATTAAAATTTACAAGGATATACTTTCAACCACTATTAATAAAACAAATCGCTAATTAACTACGCGGTAACTCACGCACGCATACGCACACATACTGTCATACATATCATCGGTAAAAAAAAACGTTGCAACTGCTGTAATTTATCGTTCGATCGCGCGTAATACAACGTTTTGCTATTAAGCTCACGCCCGTTCGCGGCATCCACGTTGAAATAGCGATGTAAAAACGGGAATTATTCAGTTCGCGTCTTTATTTGTCAAGTAGAGAATGTCATAACCGCGATGTAGCGTCATTCGGTTACTGGTGTAATTTGTCGGGCGGCGGCACATTCGCCCCGCGGATAACGCAAGAAACGCACTCAGGCGCGCCTCTTTATTGCTCTCGCGATGCAGGAGCAAAAACACCCGCTTCTCCCCGTGTATCATCTCTCGAAAAATTGTACGATGCATTACGCGCGGGAATAGCGTTGGCGTGTGCACGTGTAATATATATGTCAGGGTTATGAGGCTCGCGTTAGAAATGTATCTTAAGTAACTGCAGTTGCGGAGCACGTTTTGTACCCGGAGGAATAGCGTAAGATGGAATCGTACGTTTTTCTCCGGCGCTGTTGCGCGGGATAATTCAGGGAGGAGAGCGGAGAAATTTTTCGCTCCCGGCAATCTTTTTGTTACACTCGAGTGCGCACTTCGCTTTATTGACGATGTATCAATTGTCCGTGTGTATGTGTGGCTGTATATGTGTGTGTATATATATATATATATATATATGCATATACGTATGTGCGCGCGATGTCATGTTTAAGCGTCAAATCGAATACGTGAAGTTCGAGTGGAAATTTTAAATGCCGATGACCGCGCTCGGAGCAACGAAAAAAGCGCACGCCGGTAGTTTCCATCGGATATCGATGCATCGAATCAATTAGACTCCCGAAAGCGCAAAGTTCATTCGGATTTAAACTGCGCAAGCACTCACGATCTGTTTCGGATATTCGTAAATCTTCGTGTTTGCCTCGAAAGAAATAACTGATAAACTACAGAGTAAAAAATATTTTGCACTTGTGTGAAAATCGGTCTTTGTTACAATTTCCGTGTTAAATTTTTAACACACCCGTGTGTTAATTTAACATATTGTATTCATGTTATCTCAACATTTTGTGTTGTGTTGATATTCAACATTTGTAAAATAACGCATTTTATACTTCAGTGCTGATTGCCGTATTAATTTGATGTTATTTTTTTACATTACATTTGCGTCGCTTTTCGGCATATTTACTTTGTGTGAAATTAAACAAAAATTTGGGCCGCTTAGTACATGCAACATGTGTTAACTTCAGCACGAAGTTTTTCACTGCGTGAAAAACCTCGAGAAAAGCCAGTTACTGCATCCAATTTTATAGTAACCTTATTACAGCAATAAACTCGCAGATATGATTGCAATAGATATCGTTTGTGCTGTACAACGAAAAATATTTCTACACAATGACGACAACGCAACTAATCTGGATTTCGTGTTGCACAGGGGTGCCCGGCAAGAGAAACGAAATCTACTACAATTGCTGCCCAGAACCGTACATAGACATCACTTTCGTCGTCATCATCAGAAGACGCACACTCTACTACTTCTTCAACCTGATCGTGCCGTGCGTCCTGATTGCCAGCATGGCCGTCCTCGGGTTCACCCTGCCGCCGGATTCCGGCGAGAAACTCTCCCTCGGCAAGTTTCAACTCGATGCAAAACTCCGATTGCCCTCAACGACCCGTGAACGTTCTCGCGATTAGGCACGCCCCTGTTTGCTAAGAGCATCAGACGTTTGCGCGATTAGGTCCGACCTACTTCCGGCCGGCGGACTCTCTCTCCCGCATCCGGGCGCAGAAGAAACTAATCTCTCCTGCCGTTGTCGCGAGTTTCTTCCCCCCGTGGTTCGAGCTTAGCGCTGAGGGATTTCGCCGAGTCGTGTCCCGGCGCGGAAATTACCGCCGATAAAATCCCGTCACGCCGCATCGGGATTGCGCGATTTCACGTGTCGACGGTGTAGGTTGCGAGCCACTCGTGTAACGCGAATTTCATCGCTCTCTGCATGTCGCGTTCGATCCTCCCAGGACGAGCTCTGACATGGAGCGCCTTTTCTTCCGTGTAATCTCAATTAGACCAGGCACCATCGATCAAACTCTTATCCGCTTCCTTGTCGGAAATTTTTCTATTCTAAACTGCGGAGCGGATGATCGATCGGCTGACAATTAACCGGCAACTTAACTCGGATCATTTTTCCGCGAGGACGATGTAGAGATGGCATCGCAGTTCCGGTGTGCGCGACGCGATCCCAGACTTTCTCTTTTGCGCGCGTGGTGACGAAACCGTCGGCAGTACAATGCTATCTGTTACATGTTATTTCATTGTTTCCCCGAGAACATGATCGTCCTGGAATCCAGCAAGGAACCCGATGCCTCCTACGGCCTGAATCGCTCGGCTGCATAATTCCGATTCCTCGCCCGCCTCGCCTCGCAGCCTCCCCGTGTAAACGTTCCCGTGATTAGAGCTGGGAGTTCGCTAAGCGCATCGGGCGTTTATGCGATTAGATTTCGCCCGATCCCGATTGAAACGACGCGGTAACTTCAGCCCGGGTCGTCGGGTTTCTTCGAGCGTGCAGCAGGCTGCTGCGTGCTGAATCCACATAGGATTCGAAAGCGATCGCGACAATCGCGTCGGCAGTAGTGCGGAGATACGCCGACAATGGAACGGCAGTTTCGAGCAATCGCGAGTTTCCGCGAAGCTCTTAGCTATTAATAGATTGAGATACGATTATCACGGGTGTCTTTGCTGCGATTGCTTCAACGTTGAGGCCGATTTCAGCGGAAATATCAGTTTATTTTTTTATCAAGTTTAAAATAAATTTTCCTTCAATATAGAAATCAGTTATTATTTTTACACCTCATTGAAAATTCTTCCACGAGTTCTTGTCCGAATAATTATCCTTTAATATATTTTTTTCACTTGAAATTGGTTATCGATTCATGGAGAAAAAAATGATTGGTCGTAAGGTGAATGTCACAATTAGTGACAGTGTCCTAATTTGCCGCGTTAATATAGCTTCTCAGTCGATCGAGTGATTTCTAAGCCACTTTTATGGGCACTTTTATCAACAAAAGTTAGTTCACAATGCGAGCCATAGCTGGAATATCATAATTATAAGCGTGCTGCTAACGAACAGTTCGAATAGTTATTCGCCGACATCTTAGAAGTTGGCCTTTAATATATGGCGTATTTTCCATCTTTCTTTGTAATTATATTTTAACCTCAAGCGATTGAAATCATACTGTCGAAATCAAAGAAAGATTGAAGAATATTTTGCAAGCAAGAAACGTAACAACGCACGTATTTTTTGTAATTAATACATGTATGTCATTAATCGGTACTGGAATCTTTTTATTTGCCTCTATCACTGACTATATGTATTTAAATAAGTATGATATAAAATGATATAAAAACTATTCCTATACGTAAAATTAATGTTACATATTTAACACATGTATAATTATAATAATTTATTAATTTATTTTCACGATATGATTGTTTTATCATTAATTGGAACCTTCACCTTATAACACGTTAACTTTACGCATATTGTTTTTCGTTTATCTGAAATCCCTATTAGTCTCAAGGACCCCTATTCGTACGTTAGACCGCCAGTGGTTTTAACGATGCCGATACAATACAAGTTTACCGATTCGACAGAAGAATTGGAAACATCCTATTTGGCGAGGAAGCAGGAAAGAAACGACGCGATACCACGACTCAATCGTGATTGGGATCTTGAGAGCACCTCTCGATGCGTTGTCGCGCGAGTCTCGAAGAAACTCGAGTAAGGTCTGATATTTAAATGAAGCACCTGGCGCGGCTGCCAATCGCGCGCGGTGTTTTGAAAGTCTAAATAATTCGAAAGCACTTCTTAACGCGACACTGCGGCTTGCGAATAAACGCCGAGGGTGTCCAAAGCCCCGAGCGGTGGGTTAAGATACACAAGACTCCGCACGCGAACTGTCTCTGAGGTTCCCTATCTAAGATGCTAATCAAAATTAGACATTAACAAAATGATAATTTTCCTTTTCAAGATATCCTTATCGCCTTCTCTCGAGTCGTCACGGTTTGACGGTTAACGAGAACGGTCGAACTTTTGACACAACTTTTCGCTCTCAACGGAACGGCTGTTAAAGTCAAAATAATCTTTCTGCGTCATAAATTTGGGTAAAATGCGCCTTTTCTTTGGAAGGTTTAAACGGAGAAGAAAGGGACGGCTTCGATGACAGTTCGCCATTGAGCCGACGAGGTGGGGGTTTGCGGACAACCTATATATCGTCCGATATAGGAGTGTGAAAATCGAAGGGTCTTTAGCACGCGGTTATCATGCACGAAGGCCCTTCGATCGTTCAAGGGCTGAGGGCTGATCCCGCCTAGCCACACCGACGCGCTCCACTTTAACGATAATTAATCGAAGCCAACGAACCTCTTTTGCAGGGGTAACCATCCTTCTATCCCTCACTGTGTTCCTGAATATGGTTGCCGAGACAATGCCAGCGACGTCCGACGCCGTGCCGCTTTTAGGTGAGCTCGATCACATTGATTTTCAATATGATTAATTTTTTCGATACGAGAAGGCGGAGACCTGACCGGTCGCCCATATTGTGAGCCGTTCGAACGGAAAAAGGGGGACGGTGGGAAGGGACGAAGGGCTGTTTACGTCCCTCTAGGACAATGTTCCTCGATCGCGAAACACCCGAGCCAGGAGACACTTGTGAAAATTTATTAAATTGAAAACAGTGTGTTTATTTTGGAGAAAAAAGTATAATTATATTATAGAAAGAAGCGTTAAAAAATAAAAGAAATGCTATTTTTCATATCATTTTTAGAAGGAACGAGACTTCTCGAATAAGACATGACGTATATTGAAATAGATTGACATTAACTACGCGATTCAATCTTCGTTCAAATCGTAAGCACTTTGAATTCACACTGTCGACCTTCTTTTCAGGGACGTACTTCAATTGCATCATGTTTATGGTGGCCAGCAGCGTGGTCAGCACAATTCTCATCTTGAACTATCATCATCGGAATGCTGACACCCATGAAATGTCCGAATGGGTAATTTCCTTTGATCGATATCGAAGCTTGTGGCATTGTTACGACTTAATTGTCGGTCGTTAGTTAATATCGCAACGCGAGAACGGAGGACGGAGAACGGAATGTTTGATTGTTGACCAATCAATTTGCGATTTCCCCTTTGTTTGAAAGTTCACGCATATTTCTTTTTTCTCGCGTTAAAGGGAAATTTGATGCGGCTTGTGTGAACCACCGGTTTTGCGAAATTAACTCCAGCGACGAGTTAATGAAATGAGAGAAACAAATCATCATTTCATTGTTATAAAATTAATCGACTAAACTAGTTAATATCCATTAATGTCCGACAATATTACGCACGGATACGAATCAATTGCGAATTATATCGAATTTTATTGAAAATCGCTCGCGTTCGTTCCGCTAAATTGGCCTATCCGTCACCGCGCGCTAACCGTATCGCTCGTTAATGATTTTTTCATTCGTGTGCAACGTGAATTATTTTACTAAAAACCCGCTTTCGATTCATCGCCAGCGCTATATGAGCCTTATATACACTGGCCGATAATTATAGTTTTAATTAAAATGCAACGCACTACCAGCGCCATATCTCTCTCTCTCTCTCTCTCTCTCTCTTCATTGCGGATAAATCGGAAATTTTATGAGCGGATAATTAAGGACCACTCCGCCGAATGCGCGTCGCGATAATAAATCACGTCGCATAATTGAATTTTTCCCGCCGGACGTCGCGTTAATTAGGATGTAAATTTCGGCGATTGACACGCATGATTTGCAGACAATCAAATTTCTGCGAGCGAAATGCACGCAAGCAAAGTCAAATAAATGAACGCGAGTTCTTTTGAGTCACGAAACGCGACGAAGAGCGTGAAAGAAACGGACAGGACGAGAAGGTACACGCACGTAAATGAATTTCTCGCCTATTTTAATTGGATACGGCCGTCGTAATAACTAAAATTTTACGTGTGCGGACGGTTCATATCGAAATAAATAATAACTTTGAAAGTCGGAAGTTATCTTCGAAATAACATTCGATCACGCTACAGCGATAATTAGTAGTTGCAGCGGATATAATTGCAGGTTAAAATATATCGTTGACCGAATTGCATTACAGATTAAAGTCGTTTTTCTGTACTGGCTGCCCTGCATACTACGTATGTCAAGGCCCGTCGAGAAAGAGGAGAAGGAAGTGCAAAAGTCGCAGAAGCCGTCTCCGGTCACGGGTAAGGTGATCTCTCCTTTCTCCCGTAATTCGCGTAATCGCACAATCCATAACTGCAACTTGATAAATTAATCGTCGCCTTGTGCGCCAGGCGCAAGCAAGTCGTACGGCGACTTGGAGCTCCATCAAAGAAGCAGCAAGTCCCTTCTGGCGAACGTGCTGGACTTGGAGGACAACGCGCTGGCGTCACACAACAACTTGCTGAACAATGTATACAGCACACCCGGGCCGCACCACCCGCACACGATGGGCCACGGCCACAGTCACATACACACGACGCCCCATCATCATCACAGCCACGCGGCTACGACACCGCACCATCAGCACGCGACGCCGTTGCCGCACTCGTCGTACCCCGGCCACCAGATCAGTCACACGCCGCATCATCACCCGCATCCGCAGGAAGCGTCGACGCCGCAGGTCGAGACGATACTCCAGAACGCGTGCTTCTGCGCTCGCTACGAGCTCGTGCTAATATTGAAGGAAATCAAGGTAAGAGTGATATCGGATGCTTTGGATATCCGAATTCTTTGCTTACCACACTCTCAGCGGTCCTTAAACATTTAGATCCCAAGGATATAGGAACCTAAAAATATCAAACTCCTGGAACCTTGAAACCCAAAAATCCGAAAGATTTTAAGTTCTCAGATTCGTGGTAACGTCGGTTCAGGGCGAGATTTCATGATTATCTGAAATAGTTAAATTCCCAAATCCGGTTAATCCAGCTCTTATATCATCAGATTTTTGAGTATTTAGTTTCAAGGCGCAAACATGCAAAGGTAGCAAACTTTTGAAACTTCGAAATCAAGGTAACGACGATTTAGAGCGATTTAATGACCCACTTAGATAATTAAGTCCTTGAATTCAGTCCGATTTTTACATCCTCGGAGGATTCGGGTTTTTTTAATTTCAAGGCACACAGATAAAAAAGCATCAAATTCTTGGAACTTCGAAATTCCAAGGTTCTTAGAATCCTAATTGGACCGACTCGACTAGCGTCATTGATATTTTAATCTTCGATTTATATAGTTTAAAAATTCTCGGCAATCTTATTTATTTATTTGTTTACTTATTTATTTAAATAGGAAAATTCCACTTTACCCACGTAAGGAAAAATCTTTAAATATTTAGATCCGTCGATACCAAAAATCTAAATAATACAACAAATTAGAAATATTAAAACCTCCAAACCTCTCCAAAGTCTTAAGATTCCAGCTAACGACAATGTAGGGAGATTCGATGAATGTCTCAAATACCCAAATCCTCAAATTCGTTTCGACAACCTCGGATTCCCAAGTATTTGAAAATAGCCCCTGGCTCTTGCCGGCTCTTGTAAATTCCAAGACACAAAAGATCAAAAGATACGAAACTCCGGAAACCTCGCCGCCCAAGAAACTCGCTGTCCCATGGCTCCAAGAACCGCACGATTCCAGGTCTAAGAGAGATCCTATCCAGAACATCTCCATTCAGAAACCAATCAGCACGATTCCATCGCAATTAACAATGATAACGCTCTGCCGCTTTGATCACGACGACGGTGTGCCCGTCTCGTTGCAGATAATAACGAATCAGCTGAAGAGCGATGATGAGAACACGAAGGTGACGAACGACTGGAAGTTCGCGGCGATGGTGATCGACAGGATGTGCCTAATCATTTTTACTCTGTTCACCATCATCGCTACCATCACCGTCCTGCTGTCGGCGCCGCACATTATCGTCACGTGATTCAGAAAAGCCAGGCTGTTGCCGGTGGTTCCGGGGCCGGCGAGGAACGCGCGCCGTACGCCGTTACCGGCGTCGACGAGGGTCGACACCACTCCGGTGATGCGTCCGCCCTTCCCGTCGATCGGCTCCCGCCGGACCGGGCTCGAGGGTGCTCGTCTTCGAGTTCGTACGCCGCTTCGTTTCGGAGATTTGCACGTTAGGAAGAAAGCAATACGGGGAGTAACTTCGTTTCTTTACGATATACATAATACCGGTGAAAATGAAAATAATAACGCTATCGATAATGAGGATAACGATAATAGTATTAATAATAATTACGTAATAGTAACGGTAAACTTCATCGTATTATTATCCCACGAGGACGCCTTAGCGAAACACGTAAACACACACGTCTAGACGGCGCGTAACAAAAAGAGACAGAGGCAGTAAAACAGAGAGAAAGAGAGAGAGAGAGAGAACAAGGGAACACATGCAAAACATGGATACACGCGGGAGCGGAGCACACGCGTGACACCCACACCGGTTTGCATCCCTGAGAGCAGTCGACGTGGCCGCAACAACAGCTTACGTAGCCGAAACGGTACATTTCCTCGGCCGAGTTAAACGATTAAGTTCTATGCGAGGTACGATTATGAGTTCTCACTGAGGTAGAACGTGAGCCGGTCGAATCGAGACACGTATTCGATTCTGTCCTCCGCGACTACACTTGGGGATGTATCACACACAACACACACACATACGTACACGCATGCACGCAACGTTACGCGAGCGACGATGCGCGTGGAAGTACGACTAGCCGATGAATTAAAGATACGCGCTGCGGTCGAGGGCTAATGTTGATGCAGGGATCCCCGAATACACACGCGAGGAGCGATCGTATCAAAAATTAAAGGTCTCTTGCGCGCGGCTCGCGTCAATGTTTCGTAATGCTTCCGCGAGTGCGCGTAAAGACTCGCGCATATCCAATCACCCCGCAAAACTCGGAGAATACGGAGTCTCAGAAAAATATGAAACGTCGAACGTGCAAACGGTAGCGCTCAAAGATGGACGTACAATCAAAGTTTTTAATCGTTCGATCGAAATCGTTCGAAGAGATACAGAATCAGCGGTGTCTTGATCAAATATTCGGGGATTGCTGCACGCGGACTTAACGTTGGTCCTCGTCTACGACGAGACGTGGAAGAAGGCGCTCGAGAGTGTCGATCACGGGCACCGACCCGAGTCGAAATGCTGCTTCTACAAATGCAAATTTCGAACTTGAAAGACTACGAGAGAATCTGGAGGTGTAACACCATACGAAGCTGTTATCTTCCGATGTTGCAAACGGTTACTTACCGCCGTTTTGTGTTGAGGCTTAAAAATATACTTATTTAATATTCAAATTATTTAATATTCGATTATCTTGATAGTCTACCTGCATTTATTCATTCTTAATTCTTAATTTTAGCGAGCAGCGTATTAATTATGTAACTTACTTAAGTGCAGATAGAGTATTACGATAAGCTAATACTAAATAATTGATAAAGATTGATAAGCAAATGGGTAAATAAAAGAACAAACTTTCTTCTTTCGTAATCTCGTTATTGTTATTTTCTATTGGCGTCGGAAATTACGATAGGATTGAGGGATTCGAAAGAGGTGAGAAGGAAGGAGTTGTAAGCACCGTCGTCGACCATGCCGCTACATCCTGCGTCCTGCAATCCATCCTGCAGTCAGCTCCTAGACGTCATCGTGGTCTGGTGCTCAATGGTGCTAAAAGAAAATACGAGTCGATCGGAAACACGACATTTTCATTAATAGGTCTGTTTCTTTTCGCTAAACTATATTAGCTGTATTAATTGTATGGGCTGTATTAGCTTGTACTAGTTCTCTTCTCCTCTTTCTTCCACCAAGAGTCCGAATTGTATTTCTGTCTTTTTTTCAATTCTATATTAGTTCAGCGAAAAGAACAGATCTATTATTATTATTCAATCGCCCATTAACCGATGGGGATCGTCGAATATTACAGGCGGAACTCTATATCGATACTTACCACGCGTGCAAACGTTTTAATATTTCGGGAATTTAATAAATTTTCGACTTCGAAGGGATCTGAAATATTTTGAGGGAGTTAATTGTTGCGCGACCGCTCAGTCGCTCAGCGATCGATGACTGTGTCATTTTCTCCCATTGTTTTGATACTCGCACACACTCGCGTACACTCTCCGTGATCGAGTCATTAAGTCTCAAACCGATGAGTACACATTACGACAAGGATTACGTGTGTGATCAGTGCGATATTTTCAATTCATGCTGTCGCATGATAGAAGTATTTCGACGGCTTTTGAGACATTTAATCCTTGTCGAGTGCTCGTCGGATTTTGGTCGGTATCGCGTAGTTTAGTACACGTTTTTCCGGTCGAATTTCGTATCTATGCAAGTGTCAGTGAGTGTCCGGAACCACGGGACAACCAGGAGCAGGGTGCTGGATCGGACAGCTGGGACTGAGGACGCAGAATGTCGGAACGCGGCCAGCGATACGTCGTATATTTCCAGGTGTGTTAAATCATTTATTATGTAGGACGTTTGACGATCTTGGCGAGAATAAGGAGATACCCGAGTCGAAATTTAGAATCTACTCTAAGGCCGGCATTCATAATTCGTCGTCATTTGACCAACAATCATAATTTTATGATTTTATGAAACTTTGATTAATTGTCAGTTTGTATTTATTTTACACGAGAGATATGTATGCAAACAGCCGAATAATGGCTCTTAGAAATACAAATCCATTAATTATTCTTTCAATCGTGAATTATTTACAAATACCGGCCTAAGTCTCGCAAGCGCTGAAAAATTTGTTTCTCTAATAATATTCCGTCGGACGCAAGTTTTAGCTTGAGCAGATCAACATCTTTTTTCACTTTTATTTTGCTTTGTTTTTCTACCGAATCCACGTTTAAATCCCTGTTGATATTTACATGACTGCTGCCTCTGCATTTACAGCTCTTTCCTTTTCAGCTCTTTTAAGAGCTTCAAATCTATAACGCTAATAAAAAAATAATACGGAAAGGATTATGAATAAAAAAGTGTATTGTTTATTCTTATTGTTTGCTTTTATTTAATTATTTAATATTTTTTTATCGAATATATTCTATCTACAGTTGAGTAAGTTGCATAATTGATACAATATACTTATTGAAATTAAGAATAAGTATTAAGTGCAGGCAGAATATTGAGAATAATCAAATATTAAATAATTATCGACTAAGTTTTTTTCTAAGAGCTTCAATATGGAAAAAGCGACAGTGAGTAACCATTTGCAGCATCAAGGTAGGATAATGACCTGTATAGTATTGTATCCCGAGATTCTCCATTGATCCTTCAATTTCGACGGTATTTGCAGGATTAATGTAGAACCAAAATTTCGACTCGGGTGGCTTCCTTTCGGCGCGTGCGAAACAATATAACGATCGGAAAGGGGCGAAAGAGAAACGATGACAGCGAAGAGGCTTAGGAGAAAAAGAGACGAATGGGGAGAAAAGAGAGTCGGGCTTTAAGGGTAATACGCACACGTTACACTCTCAGAATACACACGACGAACTGCCAAGGTGATTTAAATAATGCCAATGGATTTTCTTATCATTATCACTAGTATGTAAAAATCGACGACGACTTAATAAAACGGGGGATTTGTACTACGATTTAAGTGACGGTGGCGCAACATAAATACTCTCTCGGATAGGTTGTGCGATGTAGCCTCGAAGGATCTCGAGGGACATGCCGTGCGAAAGAACACGGGAAGACGGAGGAGACGCGGGAGAAAATTGCGAAGGACGGTTACGGTTGTTCGATAACTACTTTCGCTTGTGACAACGCGAACAGACTATTCAGTTTCGAGCGACGCACCTTCTTTCCCTGGTGTTCGCGGAACGCGAGCGAATCCTTTCATCATCGATCCGCATTCTCGTGTCGCGTTCAGCGCTATAAATGCGATAGCCCGATTATTCATTTATTTATTAGCGAGAAATATTCTTCTAATTACACTCGTCTCGCAACTTGATATTTCACATCAGCTTTGTTAAACATATATATTGAAGAACCACATTAATTTCATATATTGCGGTAATAATACGGTTCTATATATCAAGAGCCAGGCCAATTTTTATCGTTAAATAATTGTTATTATTAATTTTAATTTTCATCATTAAAAACGGTCAATTCGAGGGCCGAATATCCTAAAATTCTTGCGGAAAAAGGCGATCGTCAAGTTCTACGAATGTTTGAAGAACGAGACGAACGCATTTATCGCTGATTGCTAGCGGAGAAAATGGATCGTTATCACTTACATCGCGCGTGTATTAAACGTGGACTTACACACACACACACACACACACACACACACACACAGACACACACCTACCTTCTCTACACGGGACACTCGCGTGTCTTTCCGTGTCTGACAGTTCAATCTTTTTCCTCTCTGTAATGTTTCCATCACAGAAACCGTCACTGCGAGACGACATCGCGTTTTCTTTCGGACGTTGAAAAATCATTTCGCGGCGGGAATATTAAGCGCGGACTTTTATTTCCACCCTATTAGAAAAAAAAAATGTGACTTTGACGTTTCACGTTCCGCTGTTGTCTCTCCGGAAACGCGTGAAAGCGTTTCCGCCGACGGTCACACCGAACAACCGATAGCAACATCCAAATTGAAGAAAACCAATCTGTTTTTCGTCATCTCACACGACAGTCTCCTACTCGTCTCTTGTGGAGAGAATCAACGCTGCGATGTCAAATATCGCGATCGACGAGAGCCGGTTTATTACGGCGCGTACATTTGTTTTCACCCGCGAAAGAAACGAGAGGGAGAGAAACGTGACTCTCCTTCCAAATGTATTCCGAAAACGTTAACGCACGCCACGTCCTCTGCATATTCACGAGCTGATCGTGGGTCACGGTAGAAAATCGCGAAAGCGACGGAATCGAAACTAGCGAAGAGATGCGACACGTGGAACGGCTAACAGGCGACCGAATAAGAGGAAGGAAGTTGCTCTTGCTCACAGGCTGACTCGTAGACGGACGGCTGAGCCGTCGACGTAATGTCAGCGAGACGTACTCGATGTAGTATTGTACATTTTTTCGGCCATCGGCACTGGATAATCGCGACAACCAATCACGTTATCTTTTAATAATTATTAAAGGTTATTAAAGTAATGAACCGTGTGTATTGTTGACGATTTTGCGAAGGATGGGAGAGGAGGATTAGAAGTACGGTAAGACCTTAAGACGGTGTTTTGATCTCTATAGTGCGCGAGAAAAACGTTTAAAAAGAATTAAAAAAAATGTGGGAGAAGATTAAGCAGAATAACAATGTCGAATTGCATTAAAGTCGTAAGGCAGGTAGAGTACGTTACGTAGGGGCGAGAAAAAAACGCAGTTAATCACTGTAAGTGTCGCAGAGTAGCTGACTGAGAGTCGAGGAAATAACGCGCGTTAAAAGAAGAAAAAAAAATAAATAAAACGCGTAGTTCGAAACATCGACGCTTTAATGCCGGCGCACACTCGTCGTTCGTTGCGATAAAAATTAGCAACCAGCTCGTTCAACCGGCTCGGCAAGCGTGAAACGTCGTCTGGTCTCGCAAACCAGACAGACGCACGCGAACTCTCCGGTTATCTTGAAACTGGAGCAACCGATGCCACGCCGTGCCTCTGGAAGCGGAAAGATGGAAAAACGAGGATTCGAAACCTTTTTACTTTCCACCCTTCGATTTCGTTGCCATGCCCCGAGTCATTCTGATTATATTTTTACACACGTTCCCTTCAACACCTCTGAGAAAAAGCCACGAACTTCCGAGCGTCTGCTGAGTTCACACTTCTCGCACGTCACGCAAAAATCGGAGCGAACTCCTCGAACGTTTTAGCTCAAATAAAAACCTATGTATACACGTAATTATCTTTCCACCTCCAGAGAGAAAGAGAGAGAGATCGTGCCGTCGGTTGTGCCATTTCCGAGGCAGTTAAGCGCGCAAAGCGGAAGATTCTCGACGCCCTGATAATTTTTGTCGCTATATGAGGACGTCCGGCCTCCCCATCGTTCCTTTTCACGTGCGTTTGCTGTAGTTCAAGTTGGTGGAAAGGCGATTAGCCACGCCGATTCATCGCGATTAATCCAGGCACGTAGGAGAGAATACGTTTTTCGCATACAACACAGGTCAACGGAAGTAGAAGAGTGTGAACAACTCTGTGTCCCAAGACCCTTTCCTTCGGTATCACATTGCAACGAGGCGAATACATCGGAACGACCGGTCCGAAAATCGTAGACGAAGAGTCACGGTACAGTCCAGCTGTAGCCAAACGAGCTGCACACGCGTACTTTTTCTTTTCGTATTCACTGTTGTCAGTAATCTACGTTCCCCCGAGGCGCGTTACTTCGAGTCACTCGGTGCGCGTCGGAGGAGAGTGATTTCACATCGCGTATCGCTACCCGAAAAGTAGCGGCACTTCCTTTGATACGAAGCCTTCGCTTGTTCGCTCGAATCCGCATTCATTGTAGAAAAAGAAAAGAGATAAACGCGCGCGCGTATCGAAGCGTATATATCGCGACTAATTAATGAACTATACCACAGGTGTAAAACTATTCTAGAAGCAGCGACGTAAATGGATTACGAGTCCTAGAACATTACGGGTATCAAAAAAAAGTCGTGTTAGCGAAAAAACGAACGCGTGATCTTAATAATGTAATCGAGGTTTAACGATTAGATAGTAAAGAAAGATTATAAAAAAAAAAAGAAGGAGAAGAAGAGGAGGAAGAGAAATACACGTACCGCCGCGGTATACGCGTGTACTCTGTACGACTATACTTGTTCTACTAACTATATACTTGTAAATGTGTATTATCACATATCGTAATGAAATTCCATGTCGAAGACAGACAAGAAAAGAAATTGCTCACTGTAATTCGTCGCTAACGACTGCTGGTTTATTTTCCTAAATAAATTAACAAGCGCACGACGCGAGCGACGGCGAAGACGACTGTTCTCCGCGCTTACGCGCGCGGAAGTAGCTAGAATATATCGATGAGATTTAATAAAAGAGCTCGCGAAACGACGGCGATTGCGCGCTCGGCGGCGAAACATTTCGCGGCCGGTGTGTGAGGAAAAGTCGTGATAAATATCGATGATGAACAACAGAAATGTGCTAAAGTTTGCGAACTTCGGAAGCGAAATCTTCCGGTTGCCGTGACGCGTACTCGCTTCCTTTCGCGTCTTGGGAGCCGTGCGGCGCGCGAACCTTATTATAGAGTTTGATAGGCTTCTTTCCGCGGTTTCCCGCGGTAACGAGGAAACGAAAGGGGAAAATATTGCCATCGGGAACACTCGGCGGAGATCGCACGAGGATCACTTTTCATTCGCGCTCGAGGATCGGCCTGCAGAAATTCACTCCTCGAACGTTCGAATTTGCATAAAGGAAAAAGCGGATTTTAAATTCAGGCGGAACGTGACATACCTCGCGCGAGATATTTCCACCTCCTTGAACTCGACACGGACAGTTCTCTACGAAGATATAACGCAGCAAACGTACCTCTCGGGCATGATGTAATCCGCCGCTTTCGTACTCAAGGATAATGAATAGCAGTAAGTTTGAGGAAGCGTGATGTATTGAGTTAAAAGAGCATTAGCCGTTCGGTCTGGTGAGGAATGCAAATTCTCGGTTAACAGCGAGAGAGAATATTCTTTCACCCAAGTTGTGTGTGCGCCCATCGTTCTCGGTATTTTCACTGTCGTCTGCACGATTATTTTAACAATCGCATGATTTAATCACAACATATTGTTATTTCACCTCTAATGCTCTTTTAATTGCATACGTTGCACCCCTCGACTTTCTCTTTGGTCCTTCGTAAATTTACTCGAGAGAGTAGCCAGGAAGATACTTTCGTTCCCATTTTATCTCGTCTTTTGTTTAGAAAGAAAAAACAATTTTCCGGATGTTTTTCGTAAAGTTGAAATTTGCGTCACGCACGATCGATTGCGAAAGAACTAACGAGTTCTTCCTCGCTCGCGATTGTTTCCGGCGCATTACTTTCCCGGCCGATATGGCGTATTCGCGAAACTTTGACGAGAGCGGCGGTGAACAATGAAATTTCCGCACAAACTGAACATTTTAGAACGAACGATCGGGATGAGGAAAAAGGAAGGGCGAGAGGAAGAGAGGAAATAAGATAAGCGCCATTAACGTGACTTGCGCCTTTAAAATCAACAACTCAGCTTAATACGCGCGGGGCTGTTATATATATAAAATGTAATCTTGTAATAAAGGAAAAACAAAATAATAATAATAATAAAAACGATAACGTTAGCCATAACGATTAACGGATAACGATAAATAACATAATATTACTACTCTATTAACGATAACAATAATAATATTAAAACATATATTAGCTGTGAGATTTTTTGCCTGTACGAAAATGTTGAAATCTCCTTTCTACAACGTTAATGTACGATTAAGCCGACTTCCGCGAGTCGAATCGTTCCCAATTAACGAGTAGCTGCGGCGAACAGAAAAAGAGAGAGAGTGAGAGAATGTGAGAGAATGAGAGTGAGAGAGAGAGGGTAAGGGGGAAGAGATAAAGAGTGAAAAAGAAAGAGAAAGATTAAATAAATATACGAGTTAGCTAAAAACGAAGATTGATAGACTCATAGAATATCGTAGTAACACAGATGTACAGGGTGACGCGACGAAAGGGAATTTCGGCAATACGACGAGCGATTTTTCGAACGTCTCGCTTATCGATCCACGTGTAGGGATAGAGATGGATGGAGATGAGATTGACGACAGAGCAGATCGGACAAAATCGATCGCGAGGACACTGCTCGGGAAGTTAGAATCAGTCCGTTGATTAAAACCGTTGATTAAAATCGTAAAAATGAGCCAAATACGCACCTGAAATTTCCACACAATGAATTTCGTTCCTCGGTCGAGCCGACGCTGCGCTTTCGTCGTGACGTTAAAATTAACCCGTTATATACCCAAAAAGAGAAAAAGAGAAAGTAAAAAAGAACAACGGAAGCGCGATTATCTCCGTTGAGTATAGATTCGGAAAAACTCAAGTTGTCCGTAATTTCCCGGATACAGGCGAGCTATGAGTTAAGTCGAATGCGAGTTTCGTAGCACTTCTAGCCTTTCACTCGACTCTTAATTGATTACCCGAGCGTTTTAAGGACTTTACCTAAGGTTATATACCGATAGAGATAATTAAGATTGCTCATCGATTATGCCTGTCGTTTAAGTGTCAAGACAATCCCCCGATGACTCCAAGCGGCTCTGACGACGAAACTATTTCTCGATATATATATATATATATATATATATATATATATATATATACATATATACATATATACATATAATACTACCTCTAACTAAAGCGAGAGAGAGGGAGAGAATATATCGACAGCGACGGTGCGTCCGTCAGTTGTAATTTATCGTAAGGTCTACTGTATTATACTATAGCATGCCGAAGTCTTCCGCTATTAGTCGCCTAGCGCGGCCGACGAGTTTTCCCGGTTGTGGAGCTTTCGTGAGATCGCCGTAAATCGCGCGCGCGCGAAGTTCCGTCTCGCTGATATCGCCGGAGGAAATGCAATTAAGCGCGACGGTCCGAAATGGCGAAAGGCGAACACACACACTCGCGAAAGTCGTTTCAACTGCTCGCGGCTGTTCAGCGTTAGTAGCTCGCTGTGATGTAAGTAGTCGAAGCTCTAGCGAAAAAATTCTACGCTCGTAGATCTAGCACTGAAACCGCACGACGGACAGCGACGGGAGATGAAGAACTGAGACGAAACTATTGTGATTTGCTGCTCCTAAAAAGACATTTCCCCCTTTTCGATCGTGCAATAACCACAGACATCACATTTGTAGTCCTTCATAAAAAGTAAAAGAAACGGACCATCACACGCAGACACGCCGAAATCGCGATTGCGTAATTCCCGGTGATTCGATCAATTGAAATTAAAAAGGAGAAATGGATGAAATCGACGAGAAGTTCGAACGAGAAGACTCAATTGACAATTTCACAGGGTTGACCTTTCTAATCATGCGCTCCGACGTAATTTGCACGATGCACACCAGGGTGTCGATCGGATTGATAATCGCTGCGCGTTTCCGGACCGCGCTAGCTGGCTTCGATCTGCGCTAACATTGAAGACGAGATCAGTGTGAATTTTTCATAATAAATTATTCACACGCGCTCTTTGTTCGAATAGAGGAGCGACTTGGAAGCGTCACGTTGAACGGATGTCACAGGTTATATTTACTCGTTGTAGTTGTAGAATACAGTTGTAAAATAGAGATCGACAGTGTCCAAGAAATGTTCGGGAAAACAGGAATGATTACGCTTCTTCAACTTTTTAAATAGTATATACTTGATCTCTCGAGGAGGGCGCTCGAGATCGATGAAGACGTTCGGAAAATCGCAACGATCTATTGCCTGTTCTTACTAGACCGCTCTTTATATACCATACACACATATGTATTATACATATATATATATATATATATATATAATATATAAGTATAAATATATACGCGATACAGAGAGAGAGAAAGAGCGAAAGCGAGCGAGAGAGAGAGAGTGAGAGAGAAAAATTAAATTATATTCGACGACAACACATAGTATGTAAAAAAAGGTTGCTCGCGCTCAGCCCCGTTGTTAAATTAAGCGAAACGAGATATCGTCCACGTCGGATTTTGTTGCCGGTTACGCGAATCGCGTCGTTCCGCCGGTCGATCACCCACATTAGATTATCGTAAATTTTTATCCTCGGGGAGAGAAAAAAAGAGAGAAAGGGAAGACACTCTTCTCGATAGCCGGAGAAAAACGACAACAATCATGGTCGCCGTAAAATACCGCCGCGTTATCACGAAAATACCACTAAAGTGCACGCAAATGTGTATACAACTACCTTGCGCAAATTTCATCAAATTAATGCAGACACGCAAAGTCGGTACAGTGAGAGGAAATTTTCGAACGGGATTGAACGCAATAATCGACTAGAAAGCGATTCCTCCAATTTGATTCTTTCGATTAGAGGGAAAAAAAAACACGTCCATGCGTCCAATTTCTCGGGTTAAATTACACCTGATGAAACAATCGTATAGAGAGAGAGAGATAGAGAGAGAGAGATACAGGGTATCTCGAATATATATTAAACTACGTTGCATCGTATTTACGTTCGATGGCTCGTGAAGCCATCGCGGTGAAATGGAAACGGCGGAACGACGCTTCTCGCGCAACAGCAATGTAGATTTTGAGCGGATTTTCGAATGTCGCGTTATCATCGTCGATTCGTTTTGCCGGCGCAGCTCAGGGCAAGGTTCGCGTGTAAATTCCACTGTGCCATTGTTTGTAAAACGTAAAACAAAACAGCGATCCGCCGGATCGACCGGTCGATTTACGCGGCACGGGCGAAAGCGGAAAATAAGAAAAAAAAGACATATAATAAAAAGAATCCCACATACTCCACAAAGATTTAAGGTAGGTACACGCGCTCGCGCGCGCGTATCTTTTTCCACGAACGGCGGCGAATTAATTAATTAGACTTAACCGATTAGGTGAGGCGTAAGTTCAAGTGCCAAATTTTTAGCTAATCATTCCTTAAAAGCGTAAACGAGCGCGCTGCGGAGCGAACGTGTACGCGATAGGACCGTTGTAGGGATGTAATTAACGCGAGGGGTGATCGAAGGCGGCGCCGGAATCGCGTGTTATTAGGACCGTTTACGAATTAAGCCGAGGTTCGAGGAGCGTCCGTGAAATTACTTCGCAATTTGTTACAGACTTCAGAGGTGGGCGATCCCTGCCGATTCACACTCCTGTTGCAACTTCGGCAGACGGTACCTCGCGGACAAAATCGAGCCAAACTGCAGCAACACGCGCACACATTCGAGGACATTTTAACGCTTATCGAATTTCAGTTTGCGCTTCGGTCCAAATCTAGAAAATGGTGTCAAATGTAACTCGCGGATTTATTACGCGGAATCGCGGACGGAGGAAGAGAGAAAGAGAGAGAGAGAGAGGTGACAGGAGTGAGGAAAGAGAAGGATTCCGAGTTCGATTCGAGCGAATATACTTTGTATCGGACATCTTGAATTCCGCGGCGAAAGAGATAAGGGCGGGAGAAATATAATACACACACACATACATATATATATATATATATATATATATATATAT